GAGATGCTAAAGAAGTAGTTGATGGCTTCCTGCTTCTCGAGTCAGAGGACGCCTATCAGAGGGCTAAGGATATACTTGTGAAATGTTTTGGTGACCCCTACGCAGTAGCTGCGGCTTATTGCCAAAAAATGGAGTCCTGGTCAAAAATACCTGCGAATGATAGGTATGGTCTGAGGAAGTTTTCAGACCTTCTGGTGCAATGCGAAAACGCAATGGACAAGATTGGTAACCTCAAGGTACTTAACAATGACCAAGAGAATCGCAAACTGGCCTCCAAACTTCCCAAGTGGGCAATTGATCGTTGGAGTCGTATTGTTCATCAATTTAAGATGGAAAAAGGTACATTCCCCCCATTTTCCGAGTTTGTGAAGTTTCTTTCCAGAGAAGCTGACACTGTGTGTGATCCTGTCATCTCATCCCAGTCTATCAAAGAAGATGACAATAAAAAACCAAACGATGATGACGGGCGTGGCAAGCTTAAGTTTAGATATCGAAGAAGAGCGTTCGGTTCAAGCTTCTTCACAAACAAGGGAAACAATGCTGCTGGAAGGACTTGTCGACTCTGTAAGGGGCATCACGACTTAGATAAGTGCAAAGAATTCAAGAAGAAAGATATCCCTTTAAGAAAGGAATATGCAGCAACAAATGGATTGTGTTTCGGCTGTCTTGAGCCTGGACACTTGTCAAGAATGTGTACGAAGAGGAAAGTTTGTGAGATTTGTGGGAGATTACATCCAACACCCTTTCATGGGGATTCCAAAAGGCAAGAAAGAAAGGAAGGAAGCGAAGGCGGTAACAGTCACTCTAATAACGATTCTGGACAGCTAACACAAGGTGGTTCGACAACCTGCTTCATGACTGGTCAAGGCGAAGAACAAATAAGTTCTCTAATCGTTCCTGCATGGTTATCCCATAAGGAAGACCCAAGCCACAAGCTTCTGGTGTACTCTTTACTAGATGATCAGTCTTATACAACCTTTACTGCGAAGGAAACACTTTGTCAGCTTGGTGTACAAGGCCATCAGACTCAGCTCCTGCTCTCCACTATGCATAGAAAGGACGCAGCCATTTCAAGTGAGAAGGTCAATGGTTTGCTCATTCAAGATTATAAGTCTCAAGTCACAATTGCCCTGCCCAACACCTATTCGGCACAGTCAATACCAGCCAGAAGAGAGCAAATTCCTAAGCCAGAAACCGCCCTGAATTGGGCTCATACGAAGAAGATTGCAGGCCAGTTAATGCCCTATCGTGACGATGTCAAGGTTGGTCTCCTTATAGGCTCCAATTGTGCACGTGTCATTGTGCCCAGAGAAGTGATTCCTGGTAACTGGAATCAACTGCTCATTTGCAATGGGAAAGTCACGCGTTACCCCTCTGAAGAATGTAACAGTCCCCAGATTAGAGCTGACAGCTGCTCTAGTGTCCATCAAGGTCAGTTCAGTCCTGCGACAAGAACTACAAAAACGTAAAGGAAGTGTTCTGGACTGACAGTCAAGTGGTCTTGGGCTACATAAGGAACGATGCGAGACGCTTCCATGTGT